GTGTACACTAGTTATCAAACTTTACTAATACACATCAAAACATGCTATTTCTACTAATACACAAACCTGGTAAACAAATCTAAGTCCATTATTTTCAGCTATTGGCATTTCTATTTAAGGCGAAAATGTAATTTCTTCATACTTTTTTCATGTAGCTGTCTGGATAGGTTAGGTTATGCTAATGGGAACAAAGCCAAAACTCTTCAGTTGCTTAAAAGAGAAGAGGTTATTTCTTGTTCACAGTATCTGTGTGTGTGTATCATGAGTTGGCTGGTGGCTCTCTTGTGGATAGTTTTCCTCACATTGGAGCCTCAGTTGAAAGAGGAGCCACGAACGTTGCTGGCAATCTGGGTAGACAGTCAAAAAATAGAGTGTGGCAAATTGTGCACTCATTAACCTGTTACCTAGAATAAGAAATAGCTGGAATAGTTTTGAACTGTCCATATTACTAATAAAATCTGCAGACAAAACCCTATTAACCCTATGTGTGATCTAAATCGTTGTCTCTAATATCAAATACTTAAAATTCTCTGTGGAGTGTGTGGGGTTGGGTGAGAGGAGAGATATCACACATTTGATGATTACAAAGTCAGGATCAAAACTTCCTGCATCTACCACAGAATTCTGAACACAGTAGGTTCAGAGAACACATCTACCATATGTAGCAAATACTCTATTATGATTTGTGCTTTAGCTCCAAATTTCATGTCTTGTAAAACTGAGTTTGAAATAGTCAAACTCCTTTAGCATAACCAAGTAAAATCAGCATTCCCCATCTCTCTCTTCTCATCTCATTCTTATACCCTTGGTTTGCCAACATAGGACATATCCCATAATGGAAAGCTCAGGTCCTTCAGGCTGCACTCAGCAGTGCTCTCAAAAAGAAAACAAAGAAGAAGAATCCAAAAGATTAACAAAACAAAACAAAACACAATCATGCTAAAAAACAGAGATTTCAAAATACAGAATAGGCCAATAAACCAGAAATGTGAATGACCAAGAAAATTGGTTGGCCATTTCCATGTATCTTTCTCAAATCAACAAATAAAATCATCATCTAAATTTGTCCAGGATATTTTTATTTATCTTATATATTTTTCACTTGCTTTTTTTGTTGTTGTAGTTGTTGTTGTTGTTATAAAGTTCAGAACTCCATATTTTAAAAATCCTCTGCATTTGGTTTGAGTGTAGCCAGATAGAAGCATAGGAACATATCTGGCTTGTGTTACCTGCTAACACAAAGGGCACACCTAGCCACCCAGTGGATCAGAAAGCTGCTAGCTAATACAGTTAACCTAGTGTGATAGGAAACTGAGGGGGGAAAAGAAGAGACAGAGGCAAAGAGAGACATCATTGGCATGAAGAAAAGACTTGTACATAAATGCCATTTTCCTGGGGAAGGTTAATTTTTTACTTTTCCGAATTAATTTTTGTGCTAGTACTCAGATACTTAGTTTATCTCTCTGCTAGTCCATAAACAAATAGTGAATAATTTCTGGATGAATAATACTGGATATTGCAGATTCTCCTTTCCTGCAGTTCTCAATCTAGTCCCTTTGACCTCTATTACAGAAAGTTATTTTTGCTGATAATCTATGGTTTTAAGCCTACTGACAGGCCACTCCATGTGGTACATTCCTGCTAAGTAACTTAATTGAGATCAGATTAGTCTGAGACAATTACCTAGATTAACATATTTATGAAACCAGCCTTGGCATTGCCTGAAACATGAAAGCAATGAGAATGAATCTAGAAAAAAGAAACAAGAACTTCCCCTCCTCACCCTCAAAAAAGGAGTAGTTTAGAATGTCATAATTTTTTTATAATTTACAGATACTCTTTCATTTTCATGTATTAGCATTAGAATTGTTAAACTTACAGTGCCTAGTGTTATTAAATTATAATTAGTATACTTTAGGCTGTGGGAGGCGATGCAATAGAGAAATCAAAGTTTTAAAAATCAAGTTTTAATAGCAACAGCAGTTCACACAATTAAGCTAGCAATTCAGTGAACTGCATCTTTTACAAATTCCAAGCTTTGCCGCATCATGGGGTGACTTTATAGCCTACTGTTTTCACATCCTTGTTGATATCTTGAATTAGTCAAGCATCTGTTACCCCAATGAAGTCAGATATCTATTTCAATACTTTTGTTTTCTGCATTGCAGTCATGATCTCATTGCTTTTGTATATGTTTAGAAATGAAAAACTTGTTTCTAATACTTTCTGTATTTATTTTTTTCACATGCTTGTTAACAAAGGGCAGCTATGAGGGGTTCTTTTTCAAATTGATCTATATAAAGGCACATTCTCTCAATGTTTCCATACTTTGTTGATGTTGTTGCCATGAGAAAACTATTCAAGTCAAAAAGAGGATTTATTCTGAAACTTAATTGAGTAAATTGGCAGGTAGTCATTAACTGTGCTTTGGTAAACCACCGAGTTCTGGATCATTTTACTTCCATCATAATGTGTAGACAAAATAAGAAGGTGTTAACCTAAGGAATTTAGATAATTTTTATTTGAAATACTTTTAAAATACCTTGATATCAAGTATATTAAATATATTAGGCATAGTAAGAAAAACGAAAAAGCATATAACCCATTTTAAATCTCATACTGTTAATAAAATGGCTCTAGTCAACATACTTTTCACTAAGTTGTGATTTTTTTAATAGCATAAAAATGAAGCGCAAATATTTTCAGCTAAATACCTTTTCTAAGTTCTAAGCATTAGAGAAAAAGTCTCAAAATATATTCCTTTTTATATTAAGTTCAATCACTGTTATTGAAATGCTTTAGATTCAAAATGTTAAGCTGACAGAAGAGTGACTGGTATGAAAGGGGAACAGATATCCTTCTTTAAATTTTGCTCACATGTCACATGGTTGTCTGGAAGACTATCATTTAATGCTAAGTCTTTTCTTTCTCCCTGTTATAGTTGATACCCTTTCATCCTGGGTGGGCAAAACAGATTACACCTCCCAATAAAAAGAATAAAAACATACAGCTGTAGGTGGTTTGGAGTTCTGAAACTATATGCTATCCAGAAAAATAAACATTGGAATTATATTAAGAATGTATTGATTGCATGAATGGCAAACAACTTTCAAATAACAGCAAATATTATCCATAGTTTATAAATTCTCAAAATAACAAAGGTGCTTCAATCAATCAAAAATAGCTATTTAAAATGGCTTAAAAAACAACGGGTGTTTGACACATTTTATCAAGACAACAGACGATTCTAAACATAGCTCACTCTTCATACTTTAGTATCTGTGGATCAGAAAGAATCAATTACTTTACTTTTGTCTCCAAGGATTTATTGAAGGGCTAAGGAGGGCAGAGAACTGGAAAAAGTGACTGTCAGAGCAGTTAAAAAGTTTTTTAATTTATATATCTTAAATTTTATAAAATCATGTCTAGGAAGACATTTTTAATTATAGAGGAAAAAAACAAAGGCTTGCCTGGGAGCACACAGTCCAACACAGGGAGAGATTTTACATGAATACAGGACTTTTGCACTCAGAATCTAGGTGTGTATTTATTCACCCTGAGTTTTCTCAAAAACAAAACTGAAAAGAAGAAAAAAGAATAAGCTAAGGTAAAGGGTGGATATTGTTAAGGAGGCTTTTCTTTCCTTTCAAATTAAGGTGTAGCTAAGTCCAGTTAGTGGGAGGAATGGATGGAAAAACACGTACTGTGTTTAGGATTCAAAATAAATTGGCAGCTCCTTGAGGAAGTAAAAGGAGGATAAAGTAAGAAGAATGCAGAGGCTGCAACTGAGGACCCCAGGGATTCATTAAGCGTGGTTCCATCAGTCATACATGGCATGTTCACTCTCTGTATTTAATGGGCGTTGGAGGAGGAGCTCTATAATCTTTCCAGTAGTTTTGCTTCTTTCAGGTTCGTTGTGTCAGTTAGTTGGATGGTACTTGATTTTTGCATGAGGCGGTCAGGAAGGGCCAAGGGCACCTTTGTGAAAAGCACATTAACAGAGCAAATGTTAAAGAAACCCAGCCATATTTAGTATTTCTCTTGTTCTGCCTGATTGCCTAAGACTTCGCTGGTAAAAACTTTAGAGGAGACAGTTTGAGAAGACATATCAAAAATGTTTTTAATGTCTATTTATTATATGAATTCTAAAATATTATACAAAAAAATTGTACAAGTACACAAAGATGTACAGAGAGATAACTGACATATTCATGCTCACAAAATGTTAAAAATGATGGAAATATCAAAAAAATAGAAGATGGTTTAACTACATTACTCTGTGTCTACAAAATGAGTTAATATGCAGTAACTGATTGTTATAATTAAGAAATGTATAACAATATATCGCTAACAGAAAAAGCAGATTTTAGACATTATGTTCTGGTTTAAAATTATCTCATACATGTTTACATAGGTTGAAAGATACAAAGTTTCAAACATAGATATGAATGTTTAAGTTCTGTGTTGCAGATCATAGAATATTTTGATACTTCCTTTTACTTGAATTTTCTAAGTTTTCTTCAATGCCTATTGACCATTTTTCTAAGTGTAAAAATGCTCAACAGTAAATATATGAAGAAAGCCTTCCCATTACCAAATTTGAGTAGCAATACCAAATTTGACATATAAAACTCAATACTGCCTTGCAATTCATTAATCAAAAGGGCATCTGCAGAACCCAGTGACTTTTTCAAGGAATCTGGATGCCGAGTTTTGAAAAAACTCCCTTTTCTGAAACAAATCTTTTCAAAATAACACTTTGTATCATAATCCTTTTGGTTTGTGTGCTTCCACTAAGTCTACATGACCTAAGTCATGTGTAAAATAAGAATATTTAATAAGCTTGGATGATTATTCTTAATGCTGACAATATTTCTGAATACAAAATCTTATCATCCAAACATTATTCCCAGCAAACTGTAACTGAGAGTTTGTATGATTATTTTTTACTCATTTTGATGGTTTTGCAAAAGAAATACACATATTTTCATCTATTGCAGGTCAAATAGTTCCAGAAATCCTTGTGAACATTACAACATAGGTAAGATAAATCTTATAAGCCTTAAAGTATTCTGAGATACCTGTTATTTGTATGTGAGCTGCTCCTTTTTGACCTGAGTTATGATAGGACAAGGTTCATATCCTTAGCACTTCTGACATTGTATCTGGTGCTCCATCGTTTGGCTTGCTCAGTACCTGAATTAGCCCATGGACTCTCATTTTGTGGTGTCTACCCTGTGGGTAATCTTGCTGTCCTCTTTTTGATACTTCTTTGGTACAGCGTATTCTATTTTGTGTGTTGAATGCTGAATTTTTAAAAATGTTCCAAAAATTTTACAGTCTACGGTGTTCTGCCTTGTAAATACTATGATATTTAATATGAATGCAAAGTGGAAAAAGCATGCTCTTATTTATCAAAGTAAGTTAACAATATAGCATTTAAGTTTCTTCTTTGGTGATGCTTGGCCAATTTGCTTAATGTTTTAAGCGTGGGGAAAAAAAATGACTGAAAAGTTCTGTCTAAAGAATTGCGAAATTTGGACTTGATGATATAATTTAAAATAGAGGAAGTCAGTTTATTCACGTAGATTTATTGGCATCTCCTACCGTATACTGACTGCAGGTATTGGGCCAAAGGTGATTTTTACCCAAAGATGGAAAAAGACCTCTTACTTGCTGACTTATAAATTGTTGTATCTCTGAGAGAAAGAACCAATAAAATAGGATGAAAAAGGGTTTGTGGAACGTAGAGCTAAACATATTTAGATGTGGTTTCTATTTCAGTTATTTCTCAGCATGTCTCTTTGAGCAGATTACTCATCCTCTTTGACTTTTGTCTCCCTTTATAGCAAATGCAGAAAATAATGTGAAACTTAGAGTGTTGTAGAAATTAAATATGCGTTTTTATATAAGGAAACAAATATAATTCCTGGCATTTGGCAGTGCCTTTTTCTCTAAATACCTAAAATGCTATGGGTGAAAATGCTTGTTGAAAATAAATTTTGCAGAAATTGCCAGTGTCATATCTTGTTGTATTTAGCAAGGAATGTACAACATTTTGCTTGTCGGGTGTTATTTTAAATGTCTGTGGAAACTTAATGTGCTCATTCACAGTGTTCCTGGCTACTTCTATTTCTGCCTCTCAGCTCTGTTGCTTCCATGGCCTGTCCTTAGGTCCAAGTCTTTTGAACTTTTTAAGTCTGATTCTTCCTATCTACAATATGGGAATCATACTCATTGGAGATTATGAAATTTAAGTGAGATTATCTACATCTGTGGCTTTCAAAAGTATAAAATACTATGCAATTATGCTGGCATGTTGTTGCTATTATTATATGTAGATGCTTAAATCACTAAAAAGACTGATCAGAATTGAGAATATTAGCCTGTGTCCAACTGTACAATTTGCAAATTCAAGACTCAATGAAAGTAGTAGATTGGACTGTCAAAATGCCATGCTTGTGAATAATTGAGCAAATCAGCTTGGTGCAGTCTTACTCTTCACATAATTTAGGACTAAGGAGCACTGAGGGCCACTGGCCAAGCAGTTGTATGCTGATGCCAATTCATGCTGGTGCCAGTCTTTACTGACTCTTGATAGCTGACTGTGCCCATCTCTTTCCAACTCCAAACTCAGTGACCTCACACTGGTAGCTTAAAATGGCAAGAATCAGAGTACTTCACCAAGGAAATCGAGGCACTACAAATTAGGACTTGTTTTGTTTTGAGACACAGCTGTCAAACATTTACCAGCATGCCACTGGACACAGCCATCACTATGCCCATTAAGAGCATATCATACTTCATAAAATTCCACTGGATGTATTTACACACAGTAAGAATGTTTGAAAAAAGTAACCTTTTCTCTAATGTTGAAAGGATGTGTTATTTCTGACAAGGTAAATTCTTTTTACATTATATTATGAAATAGAGAATACAGCCAAACAGAGCAGTGATACCCAGTAGTAGAAAGATTTCTTGCTTTCAAACTAAGATTTTTGAGACAGCTAATTGTCAGGTGAAAGCATTAAGGAGTGACTATTAACAACAGTAGCTGGTGTTTGCTACTCACATTTTATTTATTTGACAGTCTTTTTTGTTTTTTGTATCTAGCAATTTCTTTAGATTCAGAAGAATAATTTAGTCTGCCTGTTGACTCAATGAAAGTGCAATTTGTTTCTAATTCATCAGGGCTTCTGAATTTTTGTTCGAATTTATAATGAGAATATGGTTCCTTTGAAAGAAATATAGAAGCTGAATTTATATATGCATTTTTATTATATTCCAGTGTACTGTCACCATACGACTTCATTTCATGATTAACAAACTTCTTAAGAACACCAAGAGCACTTAATAGAGGTTCTTTCACAATTTATGCAACTTAAATTGAGATTATTTTAAAACAGTTATGTCTACTTAATAATGGCAAAATAGTATCCCTTTAATTAATAGGAATGAACACAAGACTCTTTCCTTTATGTTAAGTTACTCCTTAGTCTTAAGTCGGACACCTTAGAAATACAGGTTCCAGGGCCATAAATGGCAATTTAGTAACCAAAGTGGTTGTTAGGTACATTAGATATTTAATAGAGTGAATTAAAAATTAACATTCACTCAGAAACTATATGTACTGATTGACTGTTACATGCAGAGTTCTACATGGATGCCCTCTATTTGGGAGTCCACAGTATATGCTTTGCAAATATTTGAAGGAAGGAAGGAAGAAAGGGTCCTGAAGAATACGCAAAAATGTAACACTCAAAGAGTTTTCTCTAAAAAAGCATGAAAGTCTAAAGAATTGTAGTCAAGGTTCTTCAGAGAAATAGGATAGGGTGTGTATATGTGTATGTATTTATATACCCAGATTTATTTTGGGAATTGGCTCATGTAATTGTAGTTGCTCACTAGCGTAACATCTGCAACGTAGGCTGGAGACCCAGGAAAAAGTTGCAAAAGCAGTCTGCTGGCAGAATTTCACTTCCTTCTGGTGAATTCAGTCTTTTAACCATTAATACCTTTAAGTGATTAGATGAGGCCCATTCACATTATGGAGGAAAATCTGCTTTACTCTGTCTGCTGATTTAAATGTTAATCTCACTTAAAAATACCTTCATGGGGCCAGGTGAGGTAGCTCGCGCCTGTCATCCCAGCACTTTGGGAGGCCGAGGTGAGCGGATCACGAGGTCAGGAGCTCGAAACCATCCTGGCTAACACAGTGAAAACCTATCTCTACTAAAAATTAGCTGGGTATGGTGGCACATGCCTATTGTCCCAGCTACTTAGGAGGCTGAGGCAGGAGAATCGCTTGAACTTGGAAGGTGGAAGTTGCAGTGAGCCGAGATTGTGCCACTACACTCCAGCCTGGGTGACAAAGGGAGACTGTCTCAAAAAAAAAAAAAAGAAGTCAAGTAACTTCATGGAAACATCTAGCATATTGTCACTCCAAATATCTAGGTATTGTAACCTAGTTGAAAAATAGAATTAATCACCCCAGGAGGTAAGACTGTGATGCACAAAGAGTTAAAGCACATATTAAATAATGGACTAAAATTGTGATTACAATGTAATACTAAAGGCTATTATACAGAGAAACATAGTCTGAATTGGACCTTGGGACACAGGTGGGATTCTAACATAAAAGCTAAGTATATTCCACGAGTAATAGAGTGTTAGCAATGTGAAACTGTTTTCAAATTATTACACTGATAGATCACCTAATCTGGGCTAGGTACTACCCAGGACTTCAAAAAGGATATCATCTGATTAAACCAGAGCGTCAGTGGTATGTTTCAGAAAGGATCTATGAGTTATAAAATATGATTAAGATGAAACATTGACCATGGACTCAAAGATCAGATTCACTATTTTATTAAGCTTCCTGCAAAATAGATTGGGTGCTTATTATTTCATTTAATAGAGGAGAGCTCATTGTGTGATAGATCTGCATCTACTAGCAATATGAACAGTTAACAGTAACTTCCTTTATAGCAGGAGACTCCATTAACTCATCTATAACCTAGGAATGCTTGCTTCATGGCTATTATAAAGCTAAATTTTAAATCATGTTATTTTATTCATAATATTGAATGAGGGTATATTACATTCCAGGCATTATGCTATTTGCTAAACATAAAAGAACAAACAGAATCATACATTCATGGAGCTTATATTTAGGTCATTCCTTTATTTAAAATGTTATATATGTGTGCTGTAACAGTAGAGGGCCTATAATAGAAAATTAATAGCAGACATCTATGATTAATGCAAATTGTCTTAATATTTTCCTCACTCTGTATGCAGAGACCCATAATATGTTTATACATACTTAAAAGTGCAATCTGAAATTCTTCCATCCTTGACCTCCTTTAGGTGTTACAGTTTTAAAGTTACTTTTCAAAGTACAAAAATATTTTCAAGCTAAATAGTACTATCACAGAACCAAACCTGATGAAAAATCACAGGGCTTGACATTGATTTAATATCCAGTCTTGCCCTTGGGTGTGTGAATCACAATGCAGCGTGTTTTAGAAAAACATGTAGTACGTTTATGAGTCAGACTTTGGAGAGAGGTTGTCTTAGACAAACAAATGTGATTCATCTATGCAAAATTTAGAAAGGACTGCATAGAGAACGTGTCCTAAAGACTTCACATTCAGACAGGTTGTATTCCCTTGGAACATGGCATGTGGGAAACTTCAACCCAGCAGTATGTGAACAGTATACTACTCCTTTTCAGATAGAGCTGTAATGGTTTGACTGCACAGGGACGCAGAACACTGAAGAAAGTGTTGACCTTAAATATTTGTGGATAAACCTGAGTTTTCTTTGACATTTATTGTGGGGTCTCTGTGACTATAATATAATCAGGTCAGAATTTAACACACATTCTGCTGGCATATGTCAAGCCTATCCCTATTAAGACCATAACTACCAATTAATTATATTATGTAGCTGAGAAAGTAATGATCTGATTGGTTACTTAAATTTAAACTACACCAACATCTTTTGTACCTAAAGCTTGGAGGCCGAGGCAGGTGGATTTCCTGAGGTCAGGAGTTCAAGACCAGCCTGGCCAACATAGCAAAACCCTGTCTCTACTAAAAATACAAAAATTAGCCACATGTGGTGGCAGGTGCCTGTAATCCCAGCTAGTCGGGAGGCTGAGGCAGGAGAATTGTTTGAATCCAGGAGGTAGAGATCGTGCCACTGCACTCCAGCCCAAGTGACAGAGTGAAAAAAAGGTTTTTTTTCTCCTGGTTATATTTTTATTGTGCATGGCTGTTGCCACAATCTACCTGTAGCTACTTAGATTTAAGGGCTTAAGTCATGACTTTAACCCTCAGAAGCTCTGAAATTTCTGCAAAGTTGTTGAATGTACTGGTATCATAGATAATGGAAGTAATTATCCCAGGGTTGCTGGGAAAACTATATATGAGATTTTAAAATTGTGTCTGGTACAAAGTAACTGCTCACAAAATAGTAGATAATAATTTATTGGTTTGGGGGTGTTGGAGTAGGACAGTAATATTGAGATGCTAGACGTCAGATTTAGATAAATTTGTACAGTTCTTATAGGCAAAGTGCACAAGTTTGAGGATTTCAGGTGATGCTAAACAAAAAACCTTTTCATGCTTGGTTTATTTTGGGTAGCTATGGTAAGGACGCATAGTGTTCAAAAATCTTGACATTTCATTGTAGTTAAGTAGAATCCATATTACTGAGAATATTCATGTAACTATGATTCATGTGTAAATGCCTATAGTAAGTTATATCATGATCAAAATCCCATATATAAATGTTTTTTTTTCTACTTTATTTTCGTACTTATGAATACTCTGCAGAAAAAGCACTTTTGGAAAAAAGACCTCTGAGAATTATTTTCTTCATGAATAAATTATCAAAAATGAACTTTAGAGCTGGGGGTGCTACACCAAGATTTGCATTTTACTCAAGAAAATGGCTGAATCTTGGGAAGAAGAGTGAGCTTTGTGGCTATTTAACTTACCCTTTTTCCATGCACTCTCCCGAGCTCTACAGTAATATTGACAACCGACAGGCAAACCACCCTGTTAGCTATGAACACCAACCTTGTAGCATTCACTAGAGGGATCAGAATAGCATTTGGAAAATATACCAAGGCTCTTCCTAATTAAAGTTTTTTTCTCCTGGGGATGACTGATGCTGCAGACTCCAGAGCCCAATCTACCTCTAACTACTTACCTTTATGGGTTTAATTCACACCTTAGGGCATAATCT